TCTGTCTGTCTGTCTGTAGTTTTTCTAGTCCTATTTCTTGTTTATTTAGAAAACAAAGTTAAACTTTTTAGCTTATTTGTGTTTTGTTGTAAATTATTTTAATTTTTTTTTGGTTTGTCTTTTTTCTTTCTTTCTTTCTTTCTTTCTTTCTTTCTTTCTTTCTTTCTTTCTTTCTTTCTTTCTTTCTTTCTTTCTTTCTTTCTTTCTTTCTTTTCTTTCTTTTTTTCTTTCTTTCTTTCTTTCTTTCTTTCTTTCTTTCTTTCTTTCTTTCTTTCTTTCTTTCTTTCTTTCTTTCTTTTTCTTTCTTTCTTTCTTTCTTTCTTTTCTTTCTTCTTTCTTTCTTTCTTTCTTTCTTTCTTTCTTTCTTTCTTTCTTTCTTTCTTTCTTTCTTTCTTTCTTTCTTTCTTTCTTTCTTTCTTTCTGTTTTTTGTCTGCCTGTCTGTCTGTTTGATCGTCTGTCTGTCGTCTTCTTTCTGTCTGCCTCTCTTATTCCCCCCTCCCCCACAATTGTCATTAAGATAACATTTTCTCTTTTTCACTCTTTCTTACTCATTGTGCTTTTATGTGTATATCGTGTGTTGTGTTTATTGTGCATATACTTCCTTCTATCGCCGTGGTGTAGACGCTCGCCTGCGTATTCGACGGTTGTGGGTTCGCGTCCTGACTGAGCCAGACGTTTTTCATAAATGACCTTGGCTCTCAGGTCCACCCAGCCTTTACTGGGTACCAGGTGCAATCCTGGGAAATAAAGGAGGCCGGCGTGGTGCTGACCACTTCAAACACCAAGTGCCGATATTTCTATAAAGTTTAGGTGTAGCCCTATAAGGCCAATACGCGTAAATCCGTGGAAAATGGTCGTTTAATTTACTTATTTACCTATAGCAGGCACACCCACAACTTCAACAACTCTCCTACAATCTTCTATCTTCCACAGACTCTACGGAACCAAGTGCACGGGGTGCCACCAACACGTCGCTCCCAATGATCTGGTGATGCGGGCCGCCAGCCTGGTGTACCACTTAGACTGCTTCTGCTGCATCGTCTGTGGGCAGCGGCTCCAGAAGGGCGATGAGTTTGTTCTGAGAGATGGGCAGCTCTTCTGTCGCATCGACTTCGAGAAGGAGTTCAGCTTCCTGCCTCTCAGCCCTAAAAGTAAGAGCTTCTTCCTTGTTTGATAATGAGGTTCGTTTGTTCGTTGGTTTGTTTGTTTCGTTACATGCTGGTTGGGGTAGGTTTCAGGGAGACTTTGCATTAGCTGGCAGCTGGTGTAGAAGGAAAGCTCCTATAGGCTGACAGAGTAGAGCCATTTTGACCGGAAGTGGCCTTAGCTGATATCTTTCATTGGCTGTGTTTCTCATTCGTTTTCTTGAATAATGAAACACTAATGTTAAAATAGGCAGAAAGGAACCAACAGTTGAATCTTGTTGAATTTCCTGTCTGTTTCCTGTTATTATTCTTCCTTGTCTCATCGCTCCTATGTTTAAAGTTTCTCTTCTCGTTAGTCTGATTTTTTTTGGTTGGGTTCTTCAACATCAACAGCAGCAACAATTGCTACTACAACTTATGAAGCTGCAGATAGAATTGCTGCCGCTAGTACAACTTTTGCGGCTACCACCAAAAGCAACACCTTTGCTTCTGCTGCTGTTACAACAGAAGTTGCTGCTGCTGCAATTGCAGCTGCTACTACTACTACTAAAACTACCACAACAGCAACAACAACAACAATAACAGCAACAACTACTACTACTACTACTGCTACTACTACTACTACTACTACTACTACTACTACTACTACTACTACTACTACTACTACTACTACTACTACTACTACTACTACTACTACTCCTCCTCCTCCTCCTACTACTACTACTACTACTACTACTACTACTACTACTACTACTACTACTACTACTACTGCTACTATTGCTGCTGCTGCTACTACTGTTACTACGACTACTACGACTATTACTACTGTTGCTGCTGCACCTCCTGCTATTGCCAACACTATTGAGCCTGTCGCTGCCATTACACCTCATCCTCCTCATCTTCTTCCTCTATTGTCTTCCTCCTCTTCCTGTTCCTTCTCCGTCTCCTCCTTTTTCCTCTTTGTATTTTTCTGGATTTCCTCTGGAATACCTCCCCTTCTTCCTTTTTTTTCTATATATTTTAACACTTTACAAATTTGCACCGCTCATATTTATGATGTATTATAAATAATCTGTATCGCCTAGGTGATACTAGTGACTGTTGTTATGACGACGGCGATGGCGGCGACCTCGGAAACAGTAAAGGTCCCAAAAGGCCAAGGACGATTTTAACAACGAGTCAAAGGCGAAAGTTCAAGGCTTCGTTTGAGGTCAACCCCAAACCATGCAGAAAAGTAAGTTAACGTGCAAAATCTGCGAATTTGTTTTTTTACAAACTTCCTCCACTTGAAAACTGAAAACATTCAGACACCCGAATAAATCCTTACTCTCAAAGCTGAATGTTGAACATTGAGCTATTAACTGCCGGGACATTTCCATAAACGCTCCGTCCTCATCTTCAGCAGCCAGCACTTATTTTATGTCCGTCTTGCCTTTCCTCTGAGTGTAAAGTGTCGACCAGATTGCCTGGACACCCCCAGCGGTACCATTCCCATATGGTTTTAATGCTTTCTAAAGGACCTTGACAACAATGAGCTTGTCATGTGTAAATTCACTATTCATTGGTGCAAAACCAGTCAAACAGTCTGCCTGTTCATTTAACAATACTCCTGCATGCCCAAAGACAATATCAAAAGAACGACAGCTACCCGGGACCGTTGAAGTGATACTTGCCACTCTGCACGGGGCATACCAGTCTCTACCTTTCCTAAAGTACTAGAAGCAAAAACCTAAAAAAAAAAAAAGAGAGAGGGGGGGGGGGGCAGTATTAGAGGAAGGTGAGAAGATAATATGAAGGATAATATGGAGATCATCTCCTTGAACCTATCTCGACTCATACCTACAAGAGCTACAACGATGTCGTGGCTAGTGAAAGAAAACTCACTCTTAAGCTGTATCAGTAAAAAGGAAAAAAAAAGTGTTCGTAAGCGGGGGTTAGATCAGAAATATCTTACCCTGACAGAAGATGTTCTGTGTTGGGTCTAATGATCAGTAACAGTAAAACCTAGGCACATTAACCACACTTCCTAATCTGAATTAAAACAACTGGAAACTATAATTATCACATTCAACATCTATTTATTTACACTGAATATAATACTAAGTTCTCCACAAATAATAGTGCAATGAAAATCCACAACATGTTGGAACATACCCTAACAACAGACGGAAACATATATCTGCCTACATACAAGCCATAGAACGCAACGGGAAAAACTACATGTTACTCGTCCGAAGAGCAGAGGCCTAAGAGAGTGAATGGACCGTTCCCATTTCCCATAGTTTTTGGGTTCACTTTAAGCTAATCAAAATGTATATAACAGCCGCATTGGGCCTGTCACACAAATATGTTTTGCAAGGCGGTTATAGTCACGTCATCTGTGTTCAGCTGCTTCTCAAGCCTGTGTAAGGCACAGAACTAGTGGCTACCAGAGTCGGGGATGCTGGTACGGCTCTTTTCTTCTACCTTTCTAACCCCAATGGGATTTACGCCCTCAACCAACTTACGCCGATGCGGGTACCCCATTTATAAATTCTGTGGAGATTGGACGGGGTATTTAGACTTAGTGAGTAAGAACCAAAAAATATCCGCTGAGAATCGGAGCAACTACAAGAATTTATTTGAAATGACTGTATTATTGAAGAAATCAAAGATGGCAAGGTAATACCTCCCACACACCTCACAAACACTCACACCTCACAGCTACCCACACCTCACAACCGCACACAGCTCACAACCACTCATGCACCTCACAACCATTCACACACCTCACAAACGCGTGTAACAGGCTACTATCTCCCACAGGTGAGAGAGTCCCTGGCAGCAGAGACCGGTCTCAGCGTCCGGGTGGTCCAGGTGTGGTTTCAAAACCAGAGAGCCAAGGTCAGTGAAGGTCACAGACAAGGCGCCTTGTGCTATTTGCTATTTTTAGTCAACTGATTGAGTCAACTGATTAAATCAACTATTTTAGTCGGTTGATTTAGTCAGTTGATATAGTCAGTTGATTTAATCTGTTGATTTAGTCAAATGATGAAGTCAGCTGATTTTGTCAAATGATTTCGTAAACTAATTTAGTCGATTGAGTTGGTCAATTTATTTGGTCAACTGAGTTAGTCAATTGAATTAGTCAGCTGATATACTCAACTGATTTAGTTGGTTCATTTAGTCAACTGACTGGGTCAACTGATTTCGTCAACTGATTTGTTCAACTTATATAGTCAGCTGATTTAGTCATTTGATTTAGTCAACTGATGGAGTCAACTTGTCGAGTCAACTGATTTCATCAATTGATCTAGTCAACTTATTTAGCCAACTAATTTAATCAGTTGATTTAGTCACCTGATTCAGTCAACTGATTTATGTCATCTGACTGAGTCAACTGATTTAGTCAATTGATCGAGTCAGCTGATTTAGTCAACTGATTTAGTTGACTAATTTAGCTTGTTGATTCAGTCAGCTGATTTAGTCAACTGAGTTTGTCAACTGATTTAGCCAAAATAATTTAGTCAGCTAATTTAGTCAACTGATTTAGCAAACTGATTGAGTCAACTGACTGAGTCAGCCGATTTAGTCAACTGGCTTAATCAATTGATTCTGTCTGGTCAACTGACTGAGTCATCAGATATAGTCATCTGATTTAGTCATTTGCCTTAGTTAAATAATTTAGGCAGTTGATTTAGTTAACCTTAGTCTGGATGTATCACTTACATGGATTTAGTCAGGTGCCCGTTATAAGGCTTTGGTCAACTGATTATATCAGCTGATTTTGTTAACTGATATTGTTAACTAATTTATGAATTGATTTAGTCAACTACTTACATACCATAGTCCCCCGAGTGGGTTCCGGGGCCCCATTGTGGGGAAACAAGAATAGACCCACTGCCTCCCCAAAAGCATGTCGTAAGAGTCGACTAATTGCGGAGCTTCCTTTGAAGTCGGAGTGCATCTACCGGAGAGGCAAGGAACCAACAGTCTGTATTCAAAAGAATGAGATCTGTAAAACTGAAGCACACGCAACACTCAGGTTTTGGAACAGGACTGCAGTTCAGTAGTAGACGAGCAACCAGAACTTTCCGCCACAGTGTACAGCTGGTAAACGCGAAGAAGAAAAAGAAGAAGAAGAAGACACGCCATAGTTGCCGGAAACTGAGGGTTCGGGCCCCTTGAGCCATCATGTAGCAGGTCCTTTACAGAACGTCGCTCTCATCACAATTTGCCTGAAAGACACCCCGTGCTTTCGACAGCTCTCCTGCCTCATGTACTTTAATGTTCAAGAAGTCCCTTAATATTGTGCCCATCTTTGTATTGGTCGGCCCCTGCCTCTCCTTTCTGGTACGATGCCTTCTGCTATTATGTTTTGTCCAATCTGCCATAGCGCTTGATACGACAAAAATATTTCAGCGTCTAAAATATGATGCTGTTTATCAGCCAATTTTCCTAGACGTTGAGATGTTTTAAAATACCCTTGAGTCACCAAATGATTTTGTAATACCAATCCCAGCAAACCCGCCTCCTATTAGTTGAACTGAGGGTTTCCTTGAGCCATATTTTTTCCTTTACAGAACGTCGCTCTCATCACAATCTGCCACAAATCCTATTTGATATTTTGAATATTTTTTCTTTGAAAATATGTGTTTCTTAAGTACCCTTTTCAAGCCTTCAGTTTGGTTGTAGTTTTAGAGGAGTATTTTTTACACTAACCAGCATATAGTGCGTGACCTGGTCGCATTCCGCCAGTCGCCTTTACTTCCCAGACATTACCTGCTAAGGTTGGCTTGACCTGTGGCGACGGAGCCACAAAAATTATAATAGTTCCATCAGGATCTGAATCTCATGGCCTTCAAATTGACAGGCAAGCGTCTATCCGCTACAAAACAGCGATGAAGAAATTGTTTTTTCATTAGCGGCACTCCGCGTTACATACTCAGAGAATCAAGCAGTGGATGGAAACGATATTATGAACTCTTGTGGCGAATCTGCATTTAAAAAAAAATACATTGTGTGTGTGCGTGTTTGTGTGTACGTGTTTGTGTGTGTGTGTGCGTGTGTGTGTGTGTGTGTGTGAGTGTGTGTGTGTGTGTGTGCGTGTGTGCGTTGTGTGTGTGTGTGTGTGTGTGTGTGTGTGTGTGTGCGTTTGTGTGTGTATGTGTGTGTGTGTTTATGTGTGTGTGTGTTTATGTGTTTGTGTGTGTGTGTGTGTGTAGGTGTTTGTGTGTGTGTTTGTGCTGTCAACTTATCAGCTTATATTTGAAATGTTGAATGATGTAGGTGAAGAAAATAGCTCGCAAGCAGAACCAGGAAACGAACAACAACAACAGCAACAGCAAAGACAACAGCGACAGCAACAGCAGCAAAAAGTCCTCAAAGTCCCAAAAGAAGAAGAAGGAAGAGGAAAGCGACTCCTCCGACTGCGGGGGAGATCACACCAGTAGCGATGAACCCCTGTCTGCAGAGACCAGCTCATGTAAGTGGTGTAGATGTAACTGCAGTTAGTTGGTTACTTTATACTGCCAACTATTCTTGTTCTTGTTCTTTTTCTTCTTTTTGTTCTTCTTGTTCTTCTTGTTCTTCTTGTTCTTCTTGTTCTTCTTGTTCTTCTTCTTGTTCTTCTTGTTCTTGTTCTTGTTCTCGTTCTTCTTCTTGTTCTTCTTCTTCTTCTTCTTCTTCTTCTTCTTCTTCTTCTTCTTCTTCTTCTTCTTCTTCTTCTTCTTCTTCTTCTTCTTCTTCTTCTTCTTCTTCTTCTTCTTCTTCTTCTTCTTCTTCTTCTTCTTCTTCTTCTTCTTCTACTTCTCCTCCTCCTCATCATCATAACTATTAACATCATCATTACGCTCATTATAATCAACATCATCATCATCATTGTCACCACCTACGCCATCAACATCATCAGCAACATTATCACCGTGGTCGTGGCCATAAGCATCTTCTTTTTTGTGTCTCCTCTCACAACCTTCAAGCGTAATGTGCCTACAGGGCAGGATCTATATTTTATAGACCATTTCCTACTTGGTGGGTGATGTGGTCGCCTTTACTTCCCATGACATTACCTGATATCCATTTAAGGCTAGGTCGACCTGGGAGCCAAAGTAGTTGTTAAAAAATATCCTGCTACCTCGCAGCGGCTGCCGTCAATGAACGACTGGACTGCGTCCGTATCTTCATCCACGTGTTTTCTTGTCCATTCTACAGATCTGTCCAGTAACGGTGATAAACAATACCCCAGCAGTCTAGGGCCTTACGATCTATCCACTCAACCAGGTACGTAACTAAGGGGTAAATTTAAGATCTTCTCAAAGAGAAGTAATCAGGTAAAGAAGTAATCTCCACTCATTAACCGTTTTTATCAGTTGACCATTGACCATTTTTACCAGTTGACCATTGACCGTTTTTACCAGTTGACCTTTGACCATTTTTACCAGTTGACCATTGACCATTTTTACCAGTTGACCATTGACCATTTTTACCAGTTGACCGTTGATTATTTTTTACCAGTTGACCATTGGCCATTTTTAACAAATTGACAATTTTTCGTTGTTACTGATTAAACATTTTTTTTAACCAACTGACCATTGACCATTTATTTTTACGAAATTGACAATTTTTACAAAATCTTCAATTTTTACCGGCTGACCATTGCCCAGTTTTAGTAACTGACCTTCGAGCATTTTTACCAGTAGATATCTTACCAATTTTACAAAATCATCTCTGACCATGTTTACTAACTGCCATTGACCATTTTTATCAACTGACCAATAACCCTATTTACTAATCAATCAATGACCATTTTATTGAAATGACCATGAGATGTTTTTAAACGTTGACCATTGTTCTTATTTTTTCTTTACCACATTTATCATTTTACCTATTGATTATTGACAATATGCACCTGCCGACCTTTGCTAATTTTTACTAACTGGCTGTTATTACCAATTGAACTTTGACCCCTTGTGTGTGTGTACCAATTGACCTTTCACTATTTTTTACCAATTGGCCTTTGACCAGGTTTTTCAGCTGACCAACTGACCATTGGCCATTTTGGTGCTTTAATAATATCCTACCCCAGATGACGTCAGTGGACAGTCCAACACTTTAAAGGGTGGTAAGACTGGGTTTTCCGGCTTTCTGATGCTTTTAACGACCCCAAAACATCTAGAACTAGCCCTAACCCCACCTACTTCCGAGTCTAGGACCCGTGGCTGCATGTAGCTTAGGTCCCACGACAGCATACAGCTTATCTACCACCCCCTGAAATATTAGACTGTTCCGTGACCTGTGAATTTTCCCTGTTTGAGGTAGGATATTAATAAAACATCGCCATTTTGACTAGTGCCCATTGGCAAGTTTTGTCTGTAGAGGATTATTAACAATTACCGCATCGCACAAATGCCAATAGTCCCCTATTTTGATAGATCTTTAGGTACTCTTGATGTGATGATAGCATATCGCCGGCAGCCTTTACTTTTCTGGACTTCTCCTTTTATATTCTCTTTAGTTTGGGTATATGTGGAAAAGGATTCTGTCAAGCTATATAGAGCCAGTTTTAACTTGTGATTCTGAATTCTGGACATTTAAGAAACAAGCATGACAATTTATTGAGGTCTCGGAGATTTTATAGCCTTGGGGGGGGGGGGGGGGGGGGGGGGGTTTAGAAAGGGGGAGGGGGGTCATTTTTAGACAGCTTAAAAAGCGCAACCCGTATGTTTTAAAAGAGGCGAAGGCTGGAAGACAACTTATCACAAACATCTGAAGTAGTCAGTCACAATAAGTTCGCCATACACATGTAGAATTATTGCGTAAGGCATTTCCCTATTCCACACGTAAACTGGCCGCATAGATTAAAGGAATTCCACAGGAAAAACACAGCTCAAAGCGCTGCAGGAAGTGCTTAACTCAATAGCTTAGACAGCGAAATCGTAGACTTTCGAACAAATGTGGAAACTGCATTAGCAAGGAGCTGTCAGAAACAAAATTAACCCAAAAGCTAAGCATTAGGCCATGACTGTCCACCATTTTTCTTCTTCTTAAAGTCCATGCCGTGTGGAGTTGGTAGTCATGTGGTTGTCCACAACCTTCTGTCTCGTGTACTTTTAATCAACTATGTCACAGATGATCCTTCACGCCATGACGTCAGACTGTCCAGCATGTTTCTTCTTCTTAAAGTCCATGCCGTGTGACGTTGGTAGTCATGTGGTTGTCCACAACCTTCTGTCTCGTGTACTTTTAATCAACTATGTCACAGATGATCCTTCATGCCATGACGTCAGACTGTCCACCATTTTTCTTCTTAAAGTCCATGCCGTGTGGAGTTGGTAGTCATGTGGTTGTCCACAACTTTCTGTCTCGTGTACTTTTAATCAACTCTGACATAGAGGATCCTTCATGCCATGACGTCAAACTGTCCAGCATCTTTTCTCTCAATCTACCTCTGCCTCTCCTCTAACTTTCCTAACGTCACGAGGTACTCCCGTTTTCTCCTTCTAAATCAGAGGATCTAAAAATGCAGATTGTCTCTTTCTGATGTGGGCAATCAGTTCTCTCTCAACAGAAACATATCTGGCCGCAACTGATTGATTCTCATTAAATGGCCAAACCATTTCAGTCTTTGATTTTCAAAGAAATTAATTATAATTGTTGTTTACTTTCCACAGGGCATTTATTTACTAGTCAAGACATCGGAGACACAATGTATCCTGACACCCCCATAGGCATGGATGATGGAATGGACCACTTTGAGCACGTGCTGATGTCAGAGGCCGGGGGTCACCACCATCCTGGGATCATGTCCGTTGGAGGGATCATCAACCCAATAGACAAGTTGTACTCAATGCAGAGTTCCTACTTCAGCTCCGAATAGTGGCCCTTTGCTGGGAATTTTCTATTTTACTGCAAGATTTGACACAGACCGAAGAGTGTTTTACTTGTTCACTGCGTTGCACGAATTGTTGAATAGGCTGGAATTTGCTAAGTAAATTATCTGTGTTTATTGGTTCTCGAGAAAAAAACACAACTTTTGAATCTGATAAAAAATTATTTAAACAATAATGATTAGTGAGACATATTATTCCAGTTTAGTGCAGCCCATTTATTGAGAAACAGAAGATCAGATGGTTTGGTCATACATTAAGAATGCAGCCAGAACAACTACCAACGTCGGCGCTACACAGGAACAGATCTGCAGTGAAATCAAGAGGTTGTCCTAAATGAAGATTGATCGATGACATTAAAGAGCTTCTACGTCGACACGGATTGACAGTAGCCGTTGCTGCCTATCAAGCAATGGATCGTGAGCTGTTTTTCCCCACGCCGCTTAGAGGCAGAAGTGGAAATTGATAATAATGATTTTCCAGCACTACGGACAAATCCAAAGATGCTGCGGTCTTCTCCTTCGTAGCTGCACAAGCGTTAACTTGTGTCCAGTTGAAGCTATCATGTCATCAAGCGTTTACTTGTGTCCAGTTGAAGCTATCATGTCATCAAGCGTTAACTTGTGTCCAGTTGAAGCTATCATATCCACAAGTGTTAACTTGTGTCCAGTTGAAGCTATCATGTCATCAAGCGTTTACTTGTATCCAGTTGAAGCTATCATGTCATCAAGCGTTAACTTGTGTCCAGTTGAAGCTATCATGTCATCAAGCGTTAACGTGTGTCCAGTTGAAGCTATCATGTCCACAAGCGTTTACTTGTGTCCAGTTGAAGCTATTATGTCCACAAGCGTTAACTTGTGTCCAGTTGAAACTATCATGTCATCAAGCGTTAACTTGTGTCCAGTTGAAGCTATCATGTCATCAAGCGTTAACTTGTGTCCAGTTGAAGCTAGCATGTCCACAAGCTTTAACTTGTGTCCAGTTGAAGCTATCATGTCATCAAGCGTTAACTTGTGTCCAGTTGAAGCTATCATGTCATCAAGCGTTTACTTGTGTCCAGTTGAAGCTATCATGTCCGGCAGCTCCAGACTGCGCCACTGTCCGCCAGACTCGGCATGGGCACGGGCTCATCCCCGTGAAATTCTTTCAAATTATTAACAATAATCTTAATAATTTCACACGACCAGCGGACAGCAGTAAAGGTGAATGTATAAAAAAAAAACACCTGCTATAAATTCGTCGCTTCGTTTGATAAAGTGGCAACTATTTTTCATTGCTCAGCTAACTGATCATCAGGCTCAGACCCTTTACAGAACGTCGCTCACATCAAAGCGTTCATGACAGGAGCTCGGCATCTCGCTTTTTGCTACTCGGTGTCCAACTGACATCTGTGCCTAGCTTCGTTATGTGTCTCTTTATATCTCCTGTTTAGTCAAGGAGTTTTTAATAAGACATATACTGCCTATTTGTCTGCTACAAGGATTATGCATTTGCCCCTCGTGGGTGTAGTATACCCATCAGGTTAGTGACGGCATCTGTGTCTCTCTCGGACATTAGCTGGCGTCGTCTGAGGCTGAAATAGTTAACATCGCTACAACCCAACAAGCCACATCCTAGATGTCAGTTCAGTAGGACAACCGAAGACAACATCCTCTTCAACTCAGAAAGAAAAGAAAATTAGGTCAAGGATACTGTCAATACCGAGTTCTGCCCGTGTGAACCCTGAGTTCTGCCTGTGTGAACCCTGAGTTCTGCCTGTGTGAACCCTGAGTTTTTCCCGTGTGAACCCTGAGTTTTGCCCGTGTGGACCCTGAGTTTTGCCCGTGTGAACCCTGAGTTCTGCCTGTGTGAACCCTGAGTTCTGCCTGTGTGAACCCTGAGTTCTGCCCGTGTGAACCCTGAGTTCTCCCCGTGTGAACCCTGAGTTCTGTCCTTGTGAACCCTGAGTTCTACCTGTGTGAACCCTAAGTTCTCCCTGTGTGAACCCTGAGTTCTACCTGTGTGAACCCTGAGTTCTCCCTGTGTGAACCCTAAGTTCTGCCTGTGTGAACCCTGAGTTTTGCCCGTGTGAACCCTGAGTTTTGCCCGTGTGAACCCTGAGTTTTGCCCGTGTGAACCCTAAGTTTTGCCCGTGTGAACCCTGAGTTTTGCCCGTGTGAACCCTGAGTTTTGCCCGTGTGAACCCTGAGTTCTGCCTGCGTGAACCCTGAAGACACCCCTCCACATGGATGGGGAGCAGGAGGTGTGTGTGTGTGTGTGTGTGTGTGTGTGTGTGTGTATACTCGCGCCCCTGAGTGTGCGTGTGTCTGCCTACGTGCGTGCTTTGTTAAATATTTTGAGATACATTTATGTAGATGTCATTTTCATATTGTTTATAGACAAATCTGCTACCCTGTACTTTGTGATCCCATTTCTTTGACTTCACCTCATGTAAGTGCCAATCAGTTCCAATATATTTATATACCTTGTAATTTTTGATAGCCTCTGGAAGCTCCCTAATGCTTTAAAAATATGCGTTAAGTAACACATATGAGGGACTGTAGGTGGGTCATATAGGAGACATACCGCCGGCCACCTTTTCTTCCCATGTCCACCTGGGAGCCACGGTCAAGTCTGAGAACAATCCCACTCGATGCGGATTCGAACCCATGACATTCGGGCCGAAAAGCGACCGTCTAGCCACTTGTGTATCACGACTACGGATTGTTGGTCCAGGATATTATGGTATACAGAGTCACGAGTAGGCTGATAGATTGGCAGCTGTCGTTCCCCGTGCGTTGGGGCACTTTATAATAAAGCAAACGTGATGAAGGCTCTCTAGGATCAAAATAAACAGCGATAGGACAAGAGTCCATACTTTGAAAGACTAATTCGACCATGTGGGGGAGGGGTGTGGAGGAGGGAGGGGGAGGGGGAGAAGAGGTTCTGAAAGACATTTAGTCCATCATCTTCAGTTTTTAAGAAGAAAAAAAAATCATCATCTTCAACCAGCATCCCCGACGGAGGAGCTGTAGGTTTTAATTGAGACTAGGTTATGTGCGCTATATAAAATGACTTAGCACTGCACACCACCAAGAGCCCTGAAAAGGACTCCTGCTGTTCTGATGCGACCAAAGGAGACAGACCCAAATACTGTGTCGACCGGCGACGAGGTCTTCTACCGGCGAGCTAATGGGCGACCCGGTCGCCGATGTGAAAGGTATTCAATACCGAGAAAGAAACCAGGACTTTCTTTGGCTACTGAAGAAGGGAGACGGAGTACGTGTGGGAATGATTCGAGTGCAGTGGTGTTAATTAATGGAATCCATTCATTCATAGACGCCGCTAATCAGTGACAAGACGCTTGCCTGCCGAACTGGATATGTTGGGTTCGATCTGCAGGTCGACAGTCTGAAATGGGTAACAGGAAATTTTCCTGGAATGTAAAGGCGACCGATGTGAAGTTGACCACATCACACATAAAATATAGGTCTAGCCCTGAATACCTAAATATGTCTCAGAGTGTGGAAAAGAGTCATTTTCACATTGACCTCACTACTAATCGAGTACCCATTGGTCAATATAATATGGGTCAGTCACTAGATACCTGTGGCAGCGTGGTGTCGAAACATAGTGTCCGCCTCGAGTGCTAGAGGTTCCGGGTTCAATCCCCTGTAAGGGCTAGGATTTTTATTTCATGTGGACTTGTGCTTCTAGTAATTCCCCCTGATCTCTGGGTCCTGAGATCGGACGCCCGTGTGAATTGCTGTGCACGTAAAAAAAAATCCCTTAGCAGTTGGAAATCGGAAAGAGTAGCCTTCACGGGCAAAATTTGGAGTTTAAAATCTATCCAAAGTATTTCAGGATCCTCACCGGTGCTACATAGTCTGTGCACTGTGCTGAGCTTCTTCGGACTTATAGACTTGAGTTAGAAGAAGAACGGAGCACTTATGGGTTACTACCCGAGTGCCATGATGTTGATCCGTTGTTCCAACCTCAAACCTCAAACTTAATACAATATAGCTGGCAACAATCTGCGGACCACCTGCTGGGCATCCGCGGGCCTGGTTTGGCTCGCGGGCTGCCTGTTATATAACACTATCTAGGGTGCTTGAAAGCAGAAGTAGGTGATGAAGAAGGAAGGAGACAAACTTTATTTTTAGAGGATTACGAAGTGGGCACACAGGCCCGTTTTACATTCTGCCCTACTGGCTTCAATCTTTGCATACCTTATTGCATTTCATTTAACAGATGATGATGATGCTGATGATAATGATGATGATGGTGATGATAATGATGATGATGGTGAGATAAGGGCTGTGACAACGTTGAGGATGCTGAGAAATATGATGATCATGAAGATGAAGATGGCGATTATGGTGATGACAGTGATGATGATTATACTGATAATTATGATGATAAATATGATTACGACGACGACAACGATGATGATGTTGATGATGATGATAGGGCGATAATAAAGCAAAGAGTTGATATGAATTATAAATGTTTAAAAAAAAAAAATCAGATATTAACCAATTGATTTGAGCAACGAGCACAGAGCTTGTCGATTCTGTGTGAACTGGTATATGTGTGTCCTTTACAATTGTCCGGTTATTTCGACGTTAGTCATCCCAGACCACGCCCATACACCTCACTAGCTTATTCTAATTGGTAGTTCCTGAGCCTCGTGACCTTCGTACACGGTTACGGGAGTGTTCATCAATACCGTTGATATCAGGTGTTGTATATTTCAGCACGCCAGCGCCATTAAAACACTCCAAAAACATTGAGAAACTGGGTCTAACACAACTCCCCTAGACGTGCTGCAACCTATGTCACAGGCATTCTCTTTCTTGGAATGAAAACGTAAATACAAGACATCGCAGAAACCAAATAACAGAGCGGGACACACCAGTAATCTTCAGGAAAGTAGACCAGCCCAACACACTTGTGAATGAAAAGTGACCTACTCTGCTTGTGGAGACTAACGTTGAACTAACCCAATTGT